CAATTACATATACTTAAAAAATTTGTATAAAGAAAAAGTACCAACGCACATATACTAGTTTAGTCATCCATCCGTCGGTGACGACGATGATCACTGTCTCATCTTCGTGGGGGAGGGGATGATCTGGACGGTGGGTGCGGAGGTGACTAGTCAGGCCGATTCTAGCAGAAGCAGAGAATGGAGTTTTTCGACTAGAGCCACGCCCCTTCTTTGTAAATCGCAACTGGGATATAGTGTCGAGCTATCGGCCAGGTGCTTTGCCAGTTGACAACAGACTAATTGCTTTCTGGATCTCATCCAACGTGGGGACGGCATCCAGTGACTAGTTGATGGGTACCTGGGAAGACGGTTGATGGCTTCGTCATTGATTGTAAAAGGGCGGTTCAGAACGCCAATGAAATGTTCCGCCCACCTGTCAAGTATCTTTTCCTTCTCTGTGGTGAGTGTTAACCCGTCATCACTGAGGAGAGGGGACGCGGCTAGGATAAGGCTGTCCGTAAGATATCAAACTATTCAAACTGATGTTACTTCTCTCAACTACCTAGATATGACGTCATAATAGAATATGACGTCAAGGCACTGCATACTTGAGCTTACATGAAGGGGAAAGTGTCATAATTTTTACACATGGCATGTAGATTTTTGGGGGGCGTTGTTGTTTAATTCAAGTGCTGGGATAGTTTTTATGCTCCATGTGCTGTTATGATGTTGAACAAATGAAACATACGAGGGTTGTCCGTAAAGTTCGTGGACAACTTTGATAATTGCTGACAAACATTGATAAAATATATGAAACCATTATTTTCATTAAATTTATGTTTTATTTTATTAACATGCAAGTTTGCGACAAAAACAAAGCACAAATTATTATATTTTTATTAGATTAAAAAAAGACATACACTCAAAACCGGAGCATTAAAATGAAATTCTTGACGTTACCCGACGTCAAAAGCATTACGAGTACATGTACTTTTTCTAAGCATAGTCACCGTTTAACTCAATACATTTCTTATGTCGCTTTAACCACTCATAGATATGTGCAAAAATGTTCAGGTTTCACACGTAAAATAATATTTAACAATGCCTGTATCATAGCCTGTAATCATTCAACCTCTGTCCAGGTAAATCGGTCTTATTTGCGAAAAAACGGTGAAGTCACGTTATGAAAGTCATTTTTACAGCACTGCAATCTCGGAATTATGGTTTTTCTTCACGCATGTAATCCTATGAACCGTTCCTTCCGTCCGAAAATATTATATGTCACTTAAATACTAATGTTCGGCTTCTTTTACTATGTTTTCCCGATTGTTTTAAATTTGCATTGTTCTCTGTAGGTGTTTATCCTATATCTACGAAGAATTTCATCACTGCTCACTGCTCCACCTATTCCGAAAACGTCCTTTTTTGGAACAATTCCGATCCCTCTTAATAAGTTCTAACTTTGATTGCTCAGCCATTTTACAACTTTGAACATTCAGATTTTGCAATTTTGACGTGATAGCTTCTGTCAACCTCATAATGTTACAGTCATCCAGATTTCCGCAGATTTTTATAAAATACTAATAAAATTTATAAAGTAATACATAATTTTTAAATTAAAATTTTGCGGTGCTCCGGGTCTCCATTCCAAATCTAATTATGAAGCCATAATTAAAAATAAACATTTGAAATTGAATAAGATTTTACATTATTCAACTCACATTTAGTAAAGAATTAGAAATATGCTAATGATAAATATCAATGACGCAACTTTTATTGAATTTTTAGCTTGTCCACGAACTTTACGGACAACCCTCCTAGATATCCCTTTTCCTTTTGCCTGTCCCATATGCACATATTCAAACAATAGCGAAAAAAATTATACGTTAAACGCTCCCCGTATACGTCCGTACACAGAATGAGAATTTATGAATCGTGTTTATATTTGACTGGCACAAATGAAATACAAGGATAAATTGAAGATATTCTGCGTGAATCTAACAGAGAATATGTCCTCTAACTGAAATTTGCTGGGGATCGTATATAGTTTATCTATTTTTGGATAAATCGCGATAAAGAGTGAAGAATACCCTTTCTTATGTTGGAAAGTTGAATTTCTCGTTTAAAATTTTCTTAAGTAGTAAAAATTAAACCTGCCCCCAGCACTTTTTATGTACCAGAGATCACGATGAATTGATCTATATAACAAACTTTGCACAATATTTTTGTTTTGCATTTGTGCCGAAGCGATTTTTGTACAACACTTAAGAATAACTTAAATGTCCGTCACATGATCAACACAGTCATGTGACATCACAAAAATGCTTTATTAAAATACCCGATTAAACTATTATCTCAAGTTGACTGCAATTTTAAACACGGATCACATATTGAAATTAAAATCTAGCTCAAATTAAATGTATATTTTTAAGTCATTTTAAGCCTTCGGACAGCCTTATCATAGCTGCGGATGAGCCTGATGGAGTTGGCCCGTAGACTTCCCAAAGTCCACAGTAAAAGTTCTTCCTAGGCCTGTCATGAGATTTGGAGTAGCGTTGGATCTCGTCAGCTTTGGCATTCAGCCAGGAGCTCGCATACTCAGTATCCCGAAGCTTTTGCTGCACTGTGCTGCAAGCGTTCCTCAGATCGTCTTTCTTGGCTGTGGAGGTGGAATCATCTGTTTGAGCCTTGTTGGAGCAATGTTTGTCCTCTAGAAGCTACATGATCTCGGCACGGTTCTCATCAAACCAGGGCTATTTTTGGTGGAGGGCCTAAGATACTCGAAGGCTGTATTGTACACTATATTACAAAATGTGTTCCATGCTGCTTCCACGTTGTTGTCATCCAGGGTTAGGGTTAGGGTGAAGTTTAGGCGTTCTTCCAGGGTGTCAGCAAAGTACTGAGAGGTGGAAGGCAACTTGAGCTTACCAAAATTGAGATATTTTGAAGCCTTAGTCTCCTGAGGACGTATTCTGAGTTTGATCCGGAAGTTGAGAAGGTGAAGTTTATAGACTGTTAGACGGTGATCTGTCAAGCACTCCGTGCTGCACATAGCCTTTGTGAACAAACAAACTGTAAGTCTGTCTCTCTCTCTTCCTGACAATGACGTAGTCCTGATCCTTGTTTCTTCTAGTGAGAATATTGTCCGTAACTTACTGATAAATCTTCAGAAGATCACATAAGGATGCCAGTTGGTTCTTCGAATGTTTATGGAGACTAAAGAATGTGTATCAATGAAATTCCTAAATTTAAGTCGGACTCATCCAACTTCATTTTCAGCAAAGATAAAACGTGACGCTGTTTTAGACACTTTGACGTTATAATCCATGCGCCGTAAGGTGATACAATATATGGCATAAAATCACATAATTTGTTTATTTATGCATATATTTATCTGAAACTTGCTGTGTATTTTACTAAAATATGTACTAAATAAAAGTGAAAATTTCAGAACGCAGTGATGTTTATTTTTTACACTAGACAACTTGTCCACGATTTTACGGGACAACCCTCGTACAGTTCTTTCCAGTCCACGGTGAAACAATAAAATGTGATGGGACTTTTTAACCATACACAGAGACGTAATCGCAGTCATGGGCATTGGTCTAACAATAAATCTGTATTACACGACGTCTCTTTTTAATCATTACTACCTTATATAAATCAACAGTTAGGTCAACATTATATTCGCACCAAAGTTTACTCTGTCCATTTGAACCTTTTAATCAGTTTTCTTGAAAAGATCAAGGAAAGTCAAATCTCTGATTCCTCAAAACCGGAATATAGTCTCGGATCCTTTGTTATACGAATACTGTGATGATGGATATTGTAAATCATAGGCTTTTTAAACCTGCACGTTTTGCTGAAAACAAACCGTCTTTTCTTTATAAACTTCAATACTCGAATAAAGGAATTGACGCGGTTAATATAAGTAATTTTCTGAATCAAAAAAGGTTCCAGTATTGTATTCCACCATATGTTAAAGACTACGCCTTGTATTTCCTTAAACAAGTAAGACTATTCACATTTTGGACTTAGATCGTAAAGAGCCTTAATTTTTTATATACAAAAAGAAATCTGACATTAAAGTAACAATTTTAATGAAATAAGCTGAGTTTGACCAATTTTTGGTGGACGACGGTTAATTTTTAACTTTCCTCTTTTCCTTTTCCATTTTAATGAGTAAATCAAGGTTATATATTCTAAGAAGAAGAAGTTTATGGTTTGACCAAATCAGGAAACCACAATACTGTAGTAAATGGATGTTTTAAATTGCCACAAATTTATTTAAAAATCACCTACCTGTAATGCGATAAAAAACTTTCGTGTCTGTTGTCACAGTTGCATCTGTCGTCCCAGTTGCCGGTAATAGGGTGTGCTAATGTTATCTTGTAAATTTACTCAATACACGCTGTACCTAGTAAAACTACTTTTACGGCAGTGATTGTAGGGACAGTAGATTTACTAATCTTCTTAGTAAACTCCACTAGTTATTATTTTTTTTTTTGCAGTGTATGGTGATAAATTGTAAAAAAAAAAAAATGATGATAAATTGAAAAAAGAGCTAAATATCTTGGCAAAGAAAATTGAAAGAAGTCTCTTTGAGGAGTTAATTATATTTAAATAAAAAAAAAATGACCCTATAATCTTGGAGTTATCAGCCTTTGCATAGAAGCAGTCAACCTTAACATTCATAATGCAGAAAAACAAACGTCATGAAAAACTTAAAATAAAACAAAGTAAAATTAAAATAATTCCTTTTATTTCAATATGACTTAGGATTTTCCATTATTTTTAGTATAAACAATGGAACTCCATTGGAATCTAATACCTGCGCACTGCACCTATACATCAATACATAAATTTTGATTTATGACTAGAAAAAAAAAAACTGTGATAATCGACATAAAAAATTCACGTGAAAAGCCTTTAACCTGTTTATCCCAGGGTCACCTCGATACACTTCCGGTACAACGAAATCGTTTCCATTTTGACCATTAGATACCCGGTACTTGTGAGGCCCCTTCTTTTGACCATGTAACATTAACTATGGTACCATTGCCTATCGGACACGCCATCATGACTCTGTCGAGAATTCTGCTCTGAATTTGGTTGTTCCTCTGCTTTGGAGCTGTAATAGAACAGTATGTATTTTTTCTTTGAAGCCAATATCCGTTTTGTTTGCTTTTTTTGTTTAATGTCCCTCTCGAGAATTTTTCATCCATAGATTTGCTACTGCTATCTGAAAGTGGACTGCAAATTAAGACATATACTTGGCACTCAGGGCCATTAATTTTCCGCACCAGCACCTATTTAGAAAAAGAACCTCGGTTCTCCACGCCCCAAAATGATTTAAACAAACCCCAGCAGAAGAATACCTTACTCCGCGACTCCAAAGCAAAGACTCTACAATTTCAACACATGGGCATCAATTCACACAACGTATGTACGCTTGTAGATCTATATGTACAAATCTAAATTTACAAAGACACTTGGGATCAAGTCCTTTTCCTGAATTTTCTTTAAGGCTATTGTCACCTTTATCACCGGGAAGCCCTTGGGCTCCTACATAGTAACATAATTTAATGTATTACATGTACCATACGATCAAACAAACAACTTAACTATAATTTTTTTCTCTTTATACTCTATGAAGTAGCGAGTCAGCACAATGTTTTCGAACAATTATCTGAATATTACGTAATATATATTTACAAAAACAAAATCCACAGCTAACCCTTATTTCCAATATCGCCCTTCTCTCTGGATGTCCCTGGGTTTCCCTGATCAACCAGGAAATCCAGATGGTGCTAAATCGCCCTTTGCACCGGAATTACCCGAATCCTTATTAAAGCCTTTAGCTCCAATATCTCTTTTCTTCCATTTGGACCCTAAAAGAATTAAAACAAAAACATCATAAATGAAATACACCAAAGTACTTACATATTTCTCAAACAAACTTAATGTTCAGAAACAAAAAGAAAATAAAAAATTAAATAAAAGAAAAACCTGGTTTTTGTACTTTTAAACAGTTGCACACTTTTCGCCAAGCCCTCCTATATTGCCTTTAGAGCCTCCGGCTCAGTTTTCGCTATTTATTCCGGAATCCCCTTTACTTCAGGACAAACCCGGGGGACCTCTTTGTGTCCAGGGTCTACCTTCTCCCCCGGGGCACCTAGTTTTATTTTAGTGTGTTAAATAATGTTTTATAACAATGTTTACATTCTCTACATATAAAATTTTAGGAAAATAGCGAAAAATGAATAAATAAGTAGGGTGTATATAGAGTCTACAAATAAGATTAAATTGTAAACAGAATTATTTGAAGTAAACAAAGGAAGTAAGAACTACGTTTTCTGTATAGTATTTCAGAAACAACAGACCCATGGGCCACTTCGCTCACCTGAGCACTGTGGCAAGGAAAGTAGAAATTCGTTTATTATTGAAAAGTTTAAATCCAAAAGGAGTCCCATGACCAATCATGGCTTTTCTTTTCTTGAGAAGATGAATTTTAAAGATTTTTCCTATATATGTCTATGTAAAACTTTGATCAGCCATTGTTAGCACGCCCTGCCCCCGGGGTCACGATTTGAACAAACTTGAATCTACACTACCTGAAGATGCTTCATTATATATATGATCAATTATAGCTTTGTTATTTTTGAGAAGAAGATTTTTAAAGATTTTTCCTCTATATTTCTATGAAAAACTTTGGTCTGTCATTATGGCCCCACCCTTCCCCCGGGGGTCATGATTTGAACAAACTTGAATCTACACAACCTGAGGATGCTGCCATATTAATATGATCAATTATGGCTTTGTTATTCTTGAAAAGAAGATTTTTAAAGAATTTTCCTATATATTTCTTTGTAAAACTTTGGTCGGCCATTGTGGCCCCGCCCTACACCCGGTGGGTCATGATTTGAACAAACTTGAATCTACACTACCTGAGGATGCTTCCATATAAATATGATCAATTATGGCTATGTTATTCTTGAAAAGAAGATTTTTAAAGAATTTTTCCATGTAAAAATTTGGTCGGCCATTGTGGCCCCGCCCTACCCCCGGGGGTCATGATTTGAACAAACTTGAATCTACACTATCTGAGGATGTTTCCCCATAAGTTTCATCTTTCCTGGCACAGTGGTTCTTAACAAGTTTTTTTTAAAACATGCCACCACATTTTCATTAATTCCCAATTATCTTCCCTTGAATGAGGGCGTGGCCCTTCATTTAAATAAACTTGAATTCCCTTCACCCAAGAATGCTTTGTGGCAAGTTTTTTGAAATTGGCCTAGCGCTTGTTGAGAAGAAGTCAAAAATGTGAAAAGTTTACAGACAGACGGACGCCGGACAAAATGTGATGAGAAAAGCTCACTTGAGCCTTCGGCTCAGTTGAGCAAAAAAAAAAAAAGAGCAGAATGTAAAATAATTAATTTAAATGAAAAAATGTTTTTTTTTCAACTATTTTTCATTTCTATAGACTCACCTTTTAATCATAAGAGTTCAATTTTTCCTTTTGCACCTTGAATTTTTTTTATTTCTTATTATGAAGGCAAGAGAGAGAGAGAAAGGGGGGGGGGGGGTAGAGAGAGACTTCAATACAAATGTTCAAATACCTGTACACATAGCCTGGTGTTATTGTTGCAGTGCTGCTCCAATACGTTTTCCTATTAAAGACTAAAAGAAATTCATAATCATAAGCTCATAATTCATATAATCATAAAAATTAAAAATGTAATTGTTTTCACTTTTTAGCTTTAGTTCTATGTTTTAACAAATCATTACCTGAGCTTTAAGGAGGTCTGCCATTTCATTTATAAGGGAGACAACTGTCTCTTGGTTTTGATGTGTACACCCTCCTTGGCAGAATATATAGTATGGAGATCGTTGATTTGATCCTTAAAACAATTAAATAATTTAGTAAATAAAAAAAAACAAATAGTAGTTCAGTCAAAATAGGCACATACATTTTTGGCTTGCAAATGAAATAAAGTTTTGACTTTCGAATAAATAAATAGATAAATAGATAAATAGAAAGATAGATAGATAAATAAATAAATAAACAAGTATATAAATAAACATTTCTCTACAGACCATACTCCATTCCTCGTCACGTGTTTCACAGTTTTCTATCGGTTGATCCAGGACCTCAGATTACTGCTGATAATCCACCGAGAGACAAGGACCGGAAGTAGAGGTAAAGGTTTGGAGACGTAAACAACACGGTGTGGATCAGTAGGGACAGACCCGCTATTGTCGGGACAGTCGTCGCCATTTTGAATTACAACTGATAAGGCCGTGTACCTTAACTTTATGAATATAATTATGTGTGTGAATTTCTTATCTTTAGATATCAACGGTTTCATAAATGGTGTTAACACATATAGAATTTAATCATGTTAATGTCGTAGATATTTTCTTCAATAGTCAGTTAAATATGAATTAAAGCAAACGTATATAAATTTCTGTATTTATTTATTTTTCTTGTGAGTATTTAAAGAAGTAACTTATGTTCTTGACATTGTAAAATAATGCTTCATTTTTAAACAATCATTAGGATCCACACAGCAACCTTTCTGAATTGTATTGTCTATTTGATTTTGTCAGCATTATTTATAATTATGTACTTTGGGGGGGGAGGGGGGGTAAAAGGTGCCTCATTTTCTGATCATTCGTATGTCCTCGGGCCTTGAATATCCGATAAGCTCAAAAACACGAAAATTGTTAGTTGACTTTCACTTTTAATTTAATTTTTTATTGCCCTCAGGTATAATGATGTATTTACATAATTATATATACTGTTTTCAGGGCTAATTGTATTCGACGCGTAGGCGCGCTCGCGCAACAGATTTTGTTTATAAAATTTATTGCTTATACAATATTTGTCAGCATCAGGCTCGATATTTCACTCGATATTCCTATACTAATCAAAGTAGTGAAAGTACTGATAAGAGTTGATTTAATGACGATTTCAATAAAATTTAATGTTTGACACTTTGTTCACAACTTTTTCAAATTATGTTCATTTCTGCTTCATAAGGAAGTTTGTGAGAATTAAATGAAAAAAGAAAATGACACGATTCTACAGAGTCAAAAACGTAAGGTTGTTTTGATCACCATGACCATTGAATGATATGCCAAAAATAGTAAGATTTTTTTTCTGTTCGATTATTTTTAATAAAATTTTAAAGTATTTTTCTGACCTAAAGTTTGTTTAAAAGGGCTATTTATAGCAAAACTATTTCTGTAACTAAAGTTACTACCAATCCTCCAATAAAGACAAGTTAATCTTCAGTAGTAGTATTATTTTAAAAAGTAAGTAACAAGGCATCTTGTTCAAACACTGATACCAATGTATTGTACCTTATTGCCATGAAAATCAAGTCTTTAAAAGGAGGTAAAACTCTAGAGTATAGGGTCATAATGTAATACTGGTAAATTTCATTTGTTACATTGGCGTCAGAAGCATGAAAAGGGAGGGTGGGTAAATGAAAGAAAAAAGAGGGGGGACTTCTCTCAGTACCAATCCTTCTGTTTACGTTGCTTAACACTTGTTTCTTTATGTTTCATAAAAAAACTTCTCAGAACAACTGGAATGCTTTTATTATAATTGGTACACACTGCACATATACATTGTATCTTATACACCTGTAAACACAAAAACTAGAGAGAAGTACAAAAATATTTCCTTCGTAGCTATACAAAACTTCGGTTAGAAAAACAGCGGCGGATAGATAAACAAAGGGTGCACGAGAGTTTGCGCTATGTTAAGACATTTAAGAAATGGGAATGATTAATTTAATTAGAATTTCTAAGATAAGATATTCCGTTTTGAATTTTTAGTGAGATGCAAATTTAGAAATTTTGTCGAAAATCGATTTATAATTTTAGTGAGAGGTATATTTAGCGATTTTACAAATATTGAAAGAATACCGTTACCTACTCAGTGCTAAATGAGCTGTTCGCAATATGCAATATATTATAGTGATCTTTAATTACAACGTTGCTTTTAATGCCAAGATTAAATCAACTCTAAAAATTCTGCTTATATTCATTCAGGAATGAATAATTCTAATAGCAGTAAATTCACTTTTTTTTTTAAATTAAAAGCTACAAATTGTACAGATACTTGGATGATTTCCTTTGATGAACACCAGCTTAGAGTTTAAAAGTTCTTATGCTATTACTTTAACGCCACATTTTACGCAATCAAAAGAGCAGGATACTCACCACACTGCTGCATATGTACACTTACCTCGGCTTTTAAATGCAAATTGCTTATTTAGAGTTATCAACAAGCATTCTGAGAGTATTGCATGAGCAATACATGTCCCCTACCAGTCTCCCCTTTTCTCTAAAGGATGTCATTTTATAATATCCTGTATATAAAAAGTGACCCCAAAATGTGGACATTTCGACAATTTCTTTTTTATGTATCATCAAAAAAAAATTATAAGAAAATAAGATTGTAACACGTTTTTGTGTATTTGCTCTCTTTGGCTGAGACAGATAACGCGAGCTCTGAAGACCTAAAAATAAACAAAGATTCTGGCCACAAAAGGGTGACCTTTTAACCTGAACGATTCCCAGAACATGCGATTCATTAGAATGCGGTTGTTTACTTGTTTATCGGAAGATGTATTTGGTTAGGAGGAAGAAGCAACCAATGAGATTGGAGTGACCAGAGTTCAGATGTTGGGATAAATTAACTACGGAAAACAATATTTAGAGTTTCTGCAAAAGATTGGAAATTATTTTAAAAATGCATTAGAAGTTTTAAAAGTACTCAAGGTCAGAATAATAGTAATTAAAATTCAAATCAAAATTTAAAGTTATTATTGCAAATTTCGAAGGAGTTACAAATATGGAGATGTAAATCTACAAACGTTAACCTAGTATGAAATGAACGGCCGGGATAGACAGGATTTCAGTGGAAAGCTGAATCTTAACTGTCTTGGTTGCATTTCATACAGGTGAGATAATTTTCTAGACATGCGCGGTTTTTGTCAAATAATTAAATTTTCACATGGCTTAATTTATTTACAGGTTACATTTTTTTAATATTAGAACTAATAATGTTTAGTATAATGTGTAGTATATAGTAAGAAATTATTTATTGTAATCATAACGATTACAAATAGATTGTTTGATTTAATAAAGAGTGGAAAGCTGAATCTTCACTGTCTTGGTTGCATTTCATACAGGTTGGGTAACATCTCCACTCCCCAACCATGTCAGTCGCTCAGGTCCGGAAAAGTTCCTTTGGAAATAAAATGTCAAGGAATTATACAACAAAAGAAATACACATGTACCTCCACAAGACAAGCGAGTTGAGACGAAATTATATAATAAAGAGAAAGAGCTAAAATAAGTCATCCCGGTATCTCTTCACGAGTTCCAGTGAATGGGTTAACCAGATTATCAAAACCGAGCAATTATCATTGTCTATTTCTTTTTTATTAAATATGAATGAAATGTCTTGGAAACAAAGACGTGTTTTACGGGATGAATTTGTCCGTCTATTACTGATTCTGGGTCAACCGTGAGATTTCCTCTTATTGTTGAACCCAGATTCTTTAAAGCCTCAAGACACAAACACGAGTTACAAATTTTGTACTTTTATATAGAATCAGCAAAGAAAATACTTTTACATGAGTATGGGATGTTTCAGCACCGAAGGTCTGATTCCAACTGACGATAATTTTTTCACAACAAAACATACATACTGAACAAAGACAGAGTAAAATAAAAGGATTAACAAATAAAAAAAATTAGAGACATCTTTGTGAACATTTTCGATTGCTCAATGCCCGATTTTCAGAACCTGAGGATCGGACTATCTTAATTTTCTTTTGATTACAAACAAATTATTTGCTTACAATGTGCTAATCAAAAAATACAATTATATAAACGTCAAATCGATAAATTGACTCTATTTATTAATATTTTGCGCAACATTTAGTAGGCTCAACAATTACATATTTGTCCGATGGACATTCTTTACGCGAATTAAGTTTTGCTTAACGTGCACGAAAGAGTGTTTAAAAATGCTTTACGCAATTAACAAATTTTATCAGATATAACAACGAAATCAGCCGTTTTGTTGATTAGAGTATTTAGAGGTTGGTTCACTATATATTTTTTGCTCATTTGATATACCGATAGGATAACAGCTAGTTACACTGTCACAGTGTAGAATTTTACGAAAATTTTTCCATAACGCTATGAAAGCGTAACCTCAAACGTTACCACAGTAGCTCGTAACGTAAAATAAATAAACAAACAATACAAAATAAAACAAAGAACATAAACAGCTTACGTGTATTTCTTCTACGAAAATAAAGAAAATGATTAGTTTTTAAAATGATATGTTTGTCACCCTTTAAATAGCCAATGAAGTAGCTAAGAAATAGCTGTAAATATTCCATACCACAATGACACCATTTAAATAAAAGTGTTACAAAGGATACAATACCATCTACATTTCTAGATATCTTGGAGTTTAGAATCACCCTGGTAAATATATATTATTATAACAGTAACTTGATTCGAAGGGTCGTATCACGTCGAGTTGACAGGCGCGGATAATCAGATCTAACATCCCGATGATCCGCGCTTGTCAACGAGACGTGATACGGCTCTTCGGATCAAGTAACTGTTATAATGATAAATTTATCATTATTATTATTATTATAATCATCATTATCATTATCAAAGCATAATAACAAGGGACTTTTTAACGCGCAAGAAAAATAACGTCATGTTTTTGCGTACTACGTCATCAGTTTCAGAGAGTGGTGATATGAATTCAGAAAACCACATTGTGATGATCCGGAAAATCGGATCAAACTCTGTAAAATTCACAGTAACGAAAACAAGGAAATTGATGGATCTATAATAAATCTGCTTCAATATTGTAGGAATAATAAGGAAATAAATAAATAAATAAATAGTAAAATAATTAATTTAATTAAATAGGAAGGTCCAGCTTCATTTGCTAAGTTTTGACGTCTCCTATCATCTGCAATTTGTTGGCTGAGTATTAATTCAGCTATTTTATCATGACCTTTTTCATCTGCTAAATGTAGAGGAGAGCTTCCTAAGCCGTCATATATATCAACATTTGCTTTGTTCTTTAGAAGAAGTTCTACAATCTTTATATTTCCATTCTCAGCAGCAAAATGAAGAGCTGTCTTTCCGTCTCGCTGGTATAAGTTAACCTTAGCACCTTCTCTTAATAAAACATCCACAACTTTACAATGCTGATTGTAAGAGGATATAATTAATGGAGTGCTTCCATCATCGGATCTTTGGTTAATGTCAGCTTCGTAGCTGATCAATACCTTTACCATGGAAACATTACCATATGCTGCTTCTAAAAAAAGTGCTGTTTGTCCATTTTCCCCTTTAGAGTTTATGGCTGCATTGTATTCACAAAGTAGTTTAACAATTTCTTTGTGGTCATTTTTAGATGCTTCTATAAGTGCACAGTCTCCATTAGTATTTCTTTGATTAACATCAGCACCATATATTAAAAGCTCCTTTGTAATTTGTTCATTACCATGCTTTATTGCAATCATAAGCGCAGAATTTCCATCAGCCTGCCGCATATTTACACTTGCCCCTGACTTTAAAAGCAAGGCTACAACTTCAAACTTTTCGTTATCAGTTGCCATAATCAATACAGTTTTCTTGAGGTGCCTACTTTATCAATGTCGGCAACGTATTTTAACAGTTGTTTTACTATTATTGTGTGGCCAGAAGTTGCAGCTAAAGAAAAAGCTGTGAATCCATGATTATCTTCAGCATCAGAATAATACCTTTTTGATAGAAAAAAGGATACAATATGTTCTTGTCCATAACAAGCCGCTATATGCAGAACATTTCTGCCATCTTTGTTTCGACGGTTCGGATCTGCTCCGTGCTTCATAAGGCATTTGATAATGTTCAAATGTCCATATTCTGTTGCTGAATGTAAAGAAGAATTTTCGAAAATGTCACATATGCTAACATCAGCTTTATTCTCTAAGAGAAGTTTAAGAATCTCCTCATTTCCATTTTTTGCTGCAAAAAAGAGAGCCGTCATACCACCACGCTGGTATAAGTTAACGTCAGCACCTTCCTGCAATAAATAGTCCACTACTTCATAATGTTGGTTGTAAGAAGAGATAATTAAAGGAGTGTCTCCATTTTCTGTCCTTTGGTTTATGTTTGCTTTGAACTTTATCAATTCTGCCAAAACCGTTAAATGTCCATTTGCGGATGCTAGGAAAAGAGACGATACGTGTTTTTCATTAACGAGATGAATTCTATTCGTTTGATTTAAGACATTCAGCATTAGATGCACTATTTCTAAATGTCCTTCCGCTGAAGCCAGAGTCAATGCTGTATGTTCATTTTCGTTGACAGCATTGATGTCAGCATTGTACTGAAGTAAAATTTCTGTTATCTCCGAGAATCCCTTTCGAGATGAAATAATTAAAGGAGTGTCACCATTTCGTCCACATATATTTACATTTGCTTTGTTTTCTAACAGTAGCTTAACTATGCTTTCATGGTGATTTAATGATGTTATATGCAAGGGATACCAGCCGTTGATTGAAAATGCATTCAACTTAGCATGGTTATTTATCAAAGTTTTTGCTATACTTAAATATCCGAAACATGAAGCGTATAATAAAGGTGTATTACCACTGCAATCTGCAGTGTCAATATCTACATTATGTTTAACTAATTGAGTAACAACTGCTTCGTGTCCATTAGATACTGCAACAAGAAGAGGCGTTTGTCCATTAACGTCACATACATTAATATCCGCATCATACTCTATCAACTTTATAACCGCAGAGGCATGGCCAAATTTTGATGCAATAAACAAAGCAGTTTCTCCTGAATTGGTTTTATCATTCAAAGAAAATGTATTCTTTTCATATTCTACCAAACATTTAATGTTAGCAACACATCCAGTTTTGCAGGCATAATGCAAGGGATTCCAGCCGTAATAATCTCTTTCCTTGCTTTTTCCATCATGCTGTAAAAGGAGATTTAGAATACGAGTATTTCTCGTCTGTGCTGCTAAATGAACTGGGGTAATTTGTTCATGGTTTTTCAAGTTGGCATTTGCTTTCTGTTTTAATAGCAGACGTACGATTTCTACGCATTTATCATTTACTGTGTGAGAAAGACATGATTCGATTGTAAGGTGAAGAGCAGAGTTTCCAAGCATATCACATTCATCAACGTTTACTCCATATTCGATCAAAATTTCCATTTCGTCTTGCTGTTGAAATATTGCAGAACAATGAAACGGTGTTAAAAAATTAAACCCATAGAGCCATTTTTCATCTAATATGTTTTTTTCCAGTTCTCCCAGACAAAATTTCAATAATTTAAGGGAACCAACAACACAAGAACTGATACAGAGTTTCAGTTCGTTATTAAAATGTTTTTCTTCTTGAATGCGCTGTAATATACATTCACATATTTTTTTATGACCGGTAAACGCAAGACATGTAGATATGGCTATCCTCGGTGCAAAAATTGTAAACTGACTTTTCAATGATTTCTTAATTTCAAAAAAATCCATTTTATTCTTATCTGGTGTGCAAAAGGAATTTAAGGGCATTTCTAAAATGTCCGGCCCCCAAAATAAAAATGCCCTTGCAACTTCAAACAATTTAATATTAGATGAATCAAATCTCTTAACCATTTGATTAAAATCTAAACCTAGGATGTCTTTTATATCGCTCTCAAAAGTATTGTAAAGAGATTGCCATACACTTTTAGTTATGGATTTTAATGCTTGCTTAGTTTTCTCTGTCTGATTTTCAAACAAAAGGCTAATGCTCAAGTCCAAAAATGTATTATCATTATTCTCCAGCATCTCGAGCTCGAGGCGATTAAAGAATGTGTAAAAGTACAATGCAATTTTCTCATTGTTATTCAATAATGGATAAATAAAATCCTGCATGCCTTTGACAAAATGTCTGAACTGGTCTTCCGTAAATATTTTTGATTGCAAAATACGGTCATGAAAGTTTTCAGACAAAACGAGTTTGTTTATTTCTGACATAAAGGTATTGACAATATTCACAAATATTTCAAGGTCTTCATCTAAAGATTTTATCCACGACAAAGAAGAATTTCTGTGGATTGTTAGAAAGATTGACTGAAAATCGGAGGCATCTAAGTCATGAATCATTTTGCAAATGGCAGATATTAAACTTTCATTGTTCAATATGTTGGAAAAACATATTGGAAGACAAGTACCTTTCCTGAATTCTGAAAAAATTCTTTCGATCAGCTCCTCAATAAAATGATCACTAATTTGAAGAACTGGTTTTGAATTTCTTTCAGAATATGTCCCCGACAATGCAACAGTGTTGCAAATGAACTCAATTGGACAAAGCTTTAGCATGTGTTTAGGGAAGTCTTTTCCAAAAATAACTGTAACTGTCTCCAAAATATAATTGTGTCGGAATTTAAAATAGTTTTCTTCCATTTCTATTAAATTCCCAAGCAGAGACTCCAGCTGATTCATAACAGATATCCTTGACGTATCTTTTGACACGCAACTTATCTCACAGATAGTAGCAAAAAGCTTTCTGTCTTGAACTTCTTCAGAAGTGAAGAAATCTTTCAAGAGATATCCATTTTTTATAGCAAGTAGTAACAAGGCGCAGTACTGTTCCTTATATAAGGACTTTGATACCTGTATTTCTTTCTGAAGTATGTGTCTTGGATTTTTGAAAAACGATACTCCATACTTTCTGTATTCAGCATTTTTTTCAAACATCGAGCATAATAGGGGAAAATATTCATCAATCTGAAGTACTTCATCTCGTTCGTTATCGTCCAATCCCCAAGCTGATTCATACTTTGACATGATACCCCGTTTTTCATCTATTGAAAGTCCCAAATTGGCATCATCGATGACAAGGTTATTAAAATTCAGAATTTCATTTTCAATTAAATAGCGGCTTGTTATAATCAATTTTAGATTTTGCGAGTGTCCCAAATGTTCCTGTAATAGTTTTGCCGACTTCCTGAAATTTTCTGATAAAACATCATCTACACATTCCTTTCCCAAATGATCGTCCAGTATAAAAAACTGCCGATGTTTAGAAAGAGGATTGATTAATGTTAACAATTCCTCGACAGTTGAAACGGGGAGTAGTATCCATTCTCTTTTTTTGTATAATATTGCAATTTGTTGACAAGTAAATGTCTTACCCGTTCCAGACCCACCTACCACCGTTACAATCGAATGATTTTGCATGAAACATTGAATTGCCTTTGAGGCTCTGGTTCGAAAAAAAATATGTTTCATTTTCCTCCCACTTCAGGACAGTATTTGTTTTCTTTTCAATGGCTGAAATGAAAAACAAAACCTAAAAAAATATCGAAAATCATCTATAAATTCTACTTTTTATTAATCCTTTTCTTGAATATAGTAAATATTGGATTTCTAATGTTTGATTACCGCTTACAAAATTCATACCATAGTGTTTCAAATGGAGAGTGAAAATTGTTTCCTTGCAATGTTACAATAACAGTGATTTTGGTTCATGGCAAGTAGAGAGATATAATGTAATGAAATGAAAACAAAATCAATAAATGGATAATTAATTTTGAATTAAAGTGACATTGTCGATTCCGCCTAGAACACTCTTATTCTAGCATTTTTTTCATACATCTTTTCGACTGTAAATTTTTGTGCCACATTTTTTAAAAACTTAATTGTATTTGATGATTTGCCTTTGGTCCCGGCGTATGGTTTTTGAAAAATAAGTTATTCTTAAACGTCCATTCTTTTGTTTTTACTGATTTTTTTTTTTTAATTTTCCTTAAATTGTTTCAACGATAAAGCTTGGATGAAATTTAAATTATAGCTCTCTAAAAGAATTAAAAATTGTAAAATTTAAACAGAAGACAGACAATCATTGAATAGGGCTTACATGGTAGAGATTACAAACTATTTTATCTAAAATTTATCAGATTTTTTATCAAGTGAAAAATCGCTTCCATATTCCACAATGACCTCATCTAGAAGTTCTAGAATGGTACGAATTAATATTAAGATTAAAAAGTTCTTGAATTAGTCAAAACAGAAAAGAAAAGTGAGTATCTTTAAGCACTGCTATTTTTCTGACAAACTGATATATATAGTTTACCAAATATACTCAGGCAATATTGTATATTTAGATTTGATTTATCTCATAATGAATTCTTAAACTTAGATTCACATTCATCAGTAGTGGGAAATTGTTATTTTTAATATAAATACACTGTTATATGCACTTTTAATTGAATGAAGATTTATTTTCATATTATCTATGATTTGCATGTTATCTGTGATCCTTTGTGTTTATACCTATTTCAAGAGGATCCTTTATGCCTTCTTTCTTCAATATATTCAGCTTTTCTTCTGTTACTCTGTCCAGTGAAGCGATTTTCAAGTGACTTAATTTCTAGTAATGAAATGGAAATCAATTTTCATTCTTCATTCCCAAAATTTTTAAGTAAAATATATATACCAGTATTGCATTTTTAATTTAGAATGTAAAGTTAACAAATTGTCATCTATCACACAGTCAAACATCATTTTGTAAGAAGAATTAATCCAAAATAATGTTTATTTCGAAACAAAGTTTAGAATAGCATTTAGTCAAGTCAATTTATCCCCTAACACTTACAACAGAAATGGTACGAGTTGAATTCTAACTCTTTGAATGATACCTTTTGGGATACCAAAACTCTTGAAAAATATCATTGTCCAAATATCATTTTCTCAAAAAAATCTATGTTTGAATTTTAAAAAGAAGCCAATTATATGAAGAGATATTCCTTATATGGAAAAATTCTTTTCTTGGCATGTATAATTATGGATGTCACTTGACAATTCATGCAGAAATGTATCTTCAATTTGAATTTCATGCTTACTTAATTGCTTTGGATTCCCAACGGCCCTAGAAATTTAAAGTATTTTAAAAGCATTTTTCAAATATGACTTGTGCAGGAACAATAATCCACATGCCAGCATATGTAGGAATGACAAGATCTATTGATGATTGCTCCTATAAGATTTGATACCTAAGACAATATTTTTAGTACAAGAAATTTCTAGAACAAAGCAGGCCAGTAATAGATAAGCTGCTCTTACGAAGGTATCTATAATCCTGTTTTAAGGTCTTACGCAAGGAAATGTCCAATCAAAATGAATGAAGTTACATATACATAGAGACAATTTCTTTTTCTTTTTTCATTTTCGGCAACTTTTTTTAGGTCTACAATTTTGATTTTGGACTCATGTACTAGGGATATCATATCTTTAGCAGAATTGTGCCACTGAATTAAAGGGAACTCTTTTTTTAGGTGCGCGTGATGCAACTTCCTGGATGGTGTGTAGGCTGTTTGTCAACATGTGAATCCCACGTGCATTTTGGGGTAGGTAAGTTTTCTGTCAATTTTCCTTCTTAAAAGCCGCATAAGGGTATTTTTTCTGATCCCAAATTTTGGTCTAAGCATTAATCTTTATTTTCTATTTCATGAATTATCTGCTGAGAGTCTAGTTAATTAATTAATTTAATTAAAGCTATATAGTAACATATAGTAAAATTATTTCCTTGTGTGTTAACCTAAAGTATAAACCTTTTGCAAATCCTTGGTCGGTTAAATGATCTTAAAAGCAGTCTGTTATTACGATGAATGTTGACTGACGTCTTTCATACAAATGCAAGACCGTTATTTCTCCCTGAAACGACTACAGAGTTTTCCATTTACCTGATCATGGCATAGAACAAACAGCAGATGTGATCTGTTTACAAAAGATGCTTTTTCTCTCCTATGATATATACATATTTCCTTTTTGTGATACTTAAAAATTGTACAGAAGTGCCATTTCCCCACCTTTTTCAAATTGCTATGGAAACCAGCATCCATTGAGTCCTATTGAGCTTCTACTTGTTATATTCACTTAAATGTTAATTGTTTTTGTAGCTTGTTTAGACATGTTAAATTCTGTATTGTATAAATAATTTTCATACCTACAGAATCTGTTTCTATGGTGTCTTGTCTTTTATGATTAGTTCTGTTTTTATATTGCCTGTGTTTGAACTATCGCATCTTAATAATAACTCCTGTACAACAATATTTTCGAGAAGTGATGTAAGTCAGATGTTGATTTTTTTAAACCAAAATGAACAACATAAAAATTTTGACTTTTCAACTTTATACATGTATGCAACCACTCTCCACGATAAATTAAAGTCA